GAGTCTTGAGTCCACACTGAGGCCAGGAGTCTGAGTCCACACTGAGGTCAGGAGTCTGAGTCCACGCTGAGGTCAGGAGTCTGATTCCATGCTGAGGCCGGGAGTCTTGAGTCCACACTGAGACCAGGAGTCTGAGTCCACACTGAGGCCAGGAGTCTGATTCCATGCTGAGGCCGGGAGTCTGATTCCACGCTAAGGCCAGGAGGGTGAGTCCACACTGAGGCTGGGAGTCTTGAGTCCACACTGAGACCAGGAATCTGAGTCCACACTGAGGCCAGGAGTCTGATTCCATGCTGAGGCGGGGAGCCCGATTCCACACTGAGGTCAGGGGTCCGAGCTGGCTTTTTCATCCTGGACATTGCCAATGCCATTCAAGGACGAGAGGTAAAAGAAAAAGAAACAAAAATGTTGATGCCGGGGTTGGGGAGATTTTGAAACTGGTAAAATCCATGATTAGGTCATTGGGCTGTAGGCTCCTGACGTAGAACATGAGGTGCTACTCTTCCAATTTGTGGGTGGTGCCATCCACAATGATGCCACCCAGAAACTGGAGGAGCGGCACTTCATATTCCGTCTCAGGATTCTATAGACCAATGGTCTCAACGTGGACTTTACTAGTTTCAAAATCTCCCCAACCCCGGCCTCATCCCATGTCCAACCCTCCCTCTCATCACTGAGTAGGTTATTGCTGAGCAGGTGCTGCTTGATAGCACTGTTAGCGACACCTTCCATCACTTTACTGATGGTCAAGAGGAGACTGATGGGGTGGTAATTGGCCGGGTTGGATTTGTCCTGCCTTTTGTGTACAGGACATACTTGGGCAATTTTCCACATTGTCGGGTAGATGCCAGTGTTGTAACTGTAATGGAACAGCTTGGCTAGGGGGGCGGCAAGTTCTGGAGCACAAGTCTTCAGTACTATTGCCGGAATGTTGTCAGGGCCCATAGCCTTTGCAGTATCCAGTGTCTCCAATGTTTCTTCATATCGTGTGGAGTGAATCAAATTGGCTGAAGACTGGTATCTGTAATGCTGGGGACCACTGGAGGAGGCCGAGATGGATCATCCACTTGGCATTTCTGGCTGAAGATTGCTGTGAATACTTCAGCCTTATCTTTTGCACTGATGTGCTGGGCTCTTCCATCATTGAGGATGGGGATATCTGTGGACTGTCCTCCTCCAGTGAGTTGTTTAATTGTCCACCACCATTCACAACTGTATGAGGCAGGACTGCAGAGCTTAGATCTGATCCGTTGGTTGTGGGATCACTTAGCTCTGTCTATCACTTGCTGCTTTCGCTGTTTGGTGTGCAAATAGTCCTGTTTGGTGGCTTCACCAGGTTGATACCTCATCTTCAGGTATGCCTGGTGTGCTCCTGGCATGCCCTCCTGCACTCTTCATTGAACCAGGGTTGATCCCCTGGCTTGATGGTAATGGTTGAGTGGGGGATATGCCGGGCCATGAGGTTACAGATTGTGCTGGAGTACAATTCTGCTGCTGTTGATGACCCACAACACCTCATGGATGCCCAGTCTTGAGTTGCTAGATTTGTGCGAAGTCTGTCCTATTTAGCACTGTGATAATGCCATACAACACGATGGAGGTTGTTCTCAATGTGAAGGTGGGACTTCGTCTCCACAAGTACTGTGCGATGGTCACTCTTACCGATACTGTCATGGACTGATGCAACTGCAGTTGGCAAATTAGTAAGGATGAGATCAAGTATGTTTTTCCCTCTTGTTGGTTCCCTCACCACCTGCCACAGACCCAGTCTAGCAGCTATGTCCTTCAGGGCCTGAACAGCTCGAACAGTAGTACTGCTGCTGACCCATTCTTGGTGGTGAACATTGAAATCCCCCACCCAGAGTACATTTTGTGCCCTTTTCATCCTCTAAATGTTGTTCAACATTGAGGAATATTGATTCATCAGCTGGTACAGTGGTATGTGGTAATCAGAAAGTTTACTTGCCCATGTCTAACCTGAAGCCATGAGACTTCATGGGGTCCAGGGTCAATGTTGAGGACTCCTAGTGCAACACCCTCCCGACTGTATACCACTGTGCCACCCCCTCTGCTGGGTCTGTCTTGCCGGTGGGACAGGACATATCCAGGGATGGTGATGATGGTGTCTGGGACATTGCCTGTGAGATATGATTCTGTGAGTATGACTATGTCAGGTTGTTGGTTATCTAGTCTGTGAGACAGCTCTCCCAATTTTGGCGCTAACCCCCAGATGTTAGTGAGGAGGACTTTGCAGGGTCAACAGGTCTGTTTCTACTGTTGGCTTTTCCATTGCCTAGGTCGATGCCAGGTGATCTGTCCAGTTCCATTGCTTTGAGTCTTTACAGCGATTGGTACAACTGAGTGGCTTGCTAGGCCATTTTAGAGGGCAGCTGAGAGTCAATCACATTGCTGTGGGTCTGGAGTCATATGCAGGCCAGACTAGGTGAGAGTGGCAGATTTCCTCCACTGAAGGGCATTAGTGAACCAGATGGGTTTTTCCGACAATCAGCAATGGGTTCATGGTGATCAGTAGATTCTTAATTCCAGACTTTTTTTTTGAATTCCAATTCCACCATCTGCCGTGGTGGGATTCGAACCCGGGTCCCCAGAACATCAGCTGGGTTTCTGGGTTAGTAGTCGAGCGATAATACACTAGGCCATCACCTACCCACTTGAAATGTCATGACTTTCAAGGCTATGGGGCCAAGTGCTGGAAAGTGGAACTAATGTAGATTTTAATGTGGTTTTGTCAGTGCAGACTTGATAGGCTGAAAGGCATCTTCTGTACTTTAGGATTCAATGATTCTCATGGTTAGTGTTCACGAGGCAAGGTTCAGAAGTATTCAGACAAAACTCTTGCAAAGTCAACTGGATAGACTGACTACTGTGTCTGCATTGCTGAAAAATAAATCTCCCTCACCTACTCCTATTCTTCAGATCTCAAATGGCCAATATTTCAAGGTGGACAAAAATAACGATGCTTCAAACAGACACTGAAGCTCTCTGTGAAGCACGGTATCATTGACTTTAATAACTGGGTTGATGCCTTTGGTATCATTCAAAATGGTGCCAAGTTGTACGTCAAACTGTAGCAAGTTTTGAGTCCCACACCTTAATTTTTAGGCAGACAGTGGCAGAGAAGAAAAGATAAGGCAACAAAGCCTGCACCCTGTTGGTTCAAGGGGCATCCTATTTCATGTGCCCAAAGATCTGTGAGTTGATAGTTGGCCTGATAAGTAAGGTGAAAACTCATAGGAGCATCTCACAAATACAAGTAGACATCATCCTCAAATCTAAGAACAGCTGATGGGATCTTGCTTTGAAATCTACCTGAAGATGTGTAGATTTAGAAAAGGAATTAAAGATGCTGCAAGAACATGTTAAAAATGGAAAATTCTGGAGATACATAGCTGATTAGATAGAATCAAAAGAGAGAAGACTGATTTTTACAAACTCATCATCAGGTTAGTCAGTGCTGGTCTGGAGGGTCAATAACATAAAGGCTGCAACAGGAAAGTGATTATTGGTCAGTACATGGCAATGACATTTAATCCAATGGAAACCAAGTGCATAATGGAAATTGATACAGGACAACAACAGTACAGTTAAGGAAATGCTGAACCTCTGATTATTTTGTCGCTCAGGAGGGATCGATTTGGAAATTTACAAAAAAAGACATGCAAACTGTTGAGCATTTTATGCCAAGTTTGAAGAAAATAGCTCAATAAAAAGTGAAAGCCATAACAGAAACTTACTGGCCTTATAAGGGAAAGTATCAACTGACTTCATAAGCACAGCACAGCAGGATATTCAAATCGTTAAGATTTGTATACTGTTCTTACACAAAAATACAATAATGTTCCATAAAATCTCTTACCCCATTGATCAAGATCCATGGGACATAATTATGTGGTGGTTCCAGTTCATTTGTCATTTGAGCATTTTGATGCATCAATTCATTTCCCTTGCTCCCATTCACACAGCTTTTAATGGTATCCCAGAGCACCTCTGTTGGTGCATGTGCTTGTAAACACTGTGAAAATTAACAGTTTCTCAGAATAAGACATGCATAATATAAAGCATTAAACTAAATCATTGTAGTAGCATTGATGGGAACCAATAGATGAATTCTCTTCAATTGGCTTATGGCTGTTCATAAACCCTTAAAATGATTAGTCTAGTTATTAAGTGTTACTCACTCTCTGGGCTTCAGTGAGAGGTGAAGAGGCAGATTCCATGCAGCAAATCACTGGCATATAACTTGTAGCATTCTTAAGGTAATGAATCATGCATGCCTAGGCAAGGATAACCACATGAAAGAAATATTACAAAATATAAGCACAATTCTGCATTACCAACTCATTGAGCGTGTAATTTCTCCTTAGCTACACTTAAATAATCGAAAAAAATTTGAAAAGTGCCTGATATAGATCATGATAGTGAACAATTGATGCATTAAAATGTATTATCAATCAATCAATCAATAAGATTAATAATTAGAATTTACTGTGATATTTATTAATTTTAATAGAAAATTAACATTGCTTCTGAGAGAAAGGGGACTGAAAATTTCTGTTGTTTTTTTTTCTTTATTCATTCACAGGATGAGGGTGTCCCTGGCTAGGCAGCATTTATTGCCCATCCCTAATCGCCCAGAGGGCAGTTAAGAGTCAACCACATTGCTGTGGGTCTGGAGTCACATGTAGGCCTGACCAGGTAAGGATGGCAGTTACCTTCCCTAAAGGACATTAGTGAACCAGATGGGTTTTTCCTGAAAATCAACAATGGATTCATGGTCATCATTAGATGGTTAATTCCAGATATTTTATTGAATTCAAATTCCACCATCTGCCATGGCAGGATTCTAACCCAGGTCCCCAGAACGTTATATGGGTCTCTCGATTAACAGACCAGCGGTAATACCACTAGGCCATCACCTGCCCGAACTGGTGCCAACGTCAGCCTGCTAAAATTGAAAAGGAAAGACTCCACGACAGTTTCTCAGCTCAGTGAAATTAATCAACTGTAGGAAACAAGTAGCAAGTGGGAGATGGAATGGAGAGATTGGACTACGGGGTAATGAGAGCTAGGGCTTAAAGCAGGATGGATGCGGACGTGGACACTGACAAAAGACCAATGGAAATGTTTCATGATTTGCAGCATTGATCTGCTGAACACCAATATATGAGAGGATGGGACATTCATTGAATCTCCTGTTGTGATTGGTTGTTTCATTGTCCATCACCATTCATGATTGCAGTGCTGAGATTGCTTAGTTTTGTCTATAGCAAGCTGCTTCTTCTGTTTAGCATCCATTGCATACGTGTTGTATCTTTTCCCAGTTGGTAACTCATTTTTAATGTTGTTCTTGGTATATCCTCCAGAACTCCTTCAGAAGTTCAGAAGAAGAAGAGTCATATTAGACTCAAAACATTAACTGTGTTTCAATCTCAAGTTTCATGTTGTTTCTTTTCATTCAGATGTCCAGCATCATTATCTTTTGCTTTTAATACACTGACTTGATAGTTATGGCAGAGTGAGAGATCTGCCAGATGTTGGAGTAGAGGTTCTCATTAAAGCAATCCTGCTGCTGTTCATGCCCCACTTTGCCTAAAAATTCCTAGTTTTGACTGGTTAGATCTATTCTGAAACTATTCAATTCTGTACGTTTCAGAGATAGTAGGAACTGCCGATGCTGGAGAATCTGAGATAACAAGGTGCAGAGCTGGATGAACACAGCAGGCCAAGCAGCATCAGAGGAGCAGGAAAGTTGACGTTTCGGGTCTGGACCCTTCTTCAGAAAAA